TCCCTCCCTCCCTCCCACACATGCGCCCGCATGCATGCACTTCCACTTTCGCATCTCTTCTGCTTTACTGTTTTCCTGATGAATGTGGCCACTATCGCTGACTCTGTGACAGCTAAAGCAGCTCTTCTCAACTCTGTTTCTGTTATTTCTTTTTCTTTATTCTTTTTAATCTTCTCTGTTGTTTGTAATCGAGAATCACCCACAACAAAATGCTCACTGTCACCTGTTGCCTTGGCCATGTTCATCCATTAGTACCCCACTCCTTGCTACAACAGGCCTGCATGCATGCGGGCGCACGTGTGGGAGGGAGGGGGGGAGAAGAGAGAGAGAGAGAGAAAGAGAGAGAGACACAGACACAGTCTCTGATTTAATGCATTATTTTATGACGTTGTAAAGCACAGTTGGATTTTATGATTTCAAGGTATGATGTAAAAGGTGGTCCCTTTTTTCTCTTTACTGTATTTTGCCCTGCAGCGCTGTTTTCATTAGATTAGATTTTATGTTTTTCTGTTTCGCCGTAACTCTTTTAGCTGGCCACTTCTGTCCTGTTAATCATATCAGTCTCCAAGAAAACATCCAGAAAGCCGGATTTCTGAAGTTGTCTGGATTTTGCCCCACTTCTTGATACAAGTTATATTTAACAATATTATAACTGGCCCTCCAGGAAATCGCGGTCGTGTTCCGCAATAAACCAGCAGTTTTTTTGCAATTTTCGCAATTTCTTGCAATTTTAGGCAAAAATACATCAACACTTTAATTTTAACAGAATTTTAAATACGAAATGGTGGGAGTACAGAGCCGATAGACCTACGTAAATCATGGTATCTGCCCAGCTCAAGCCTACTGAGCGTACTCTAAAAGCTATAACCGGACATTCAGGCCGGAATGCATCATGTAGGCCTTCAACACAAACTGAGACATAGGCTGGGCCTAGATCTAGATCTATTGTGTGTAAGCGTGTGTGTGTGATAAGAAAGTAGGTGTATGCGTGTGTGAGGTGTACATGAGTGTGTGTGCGTGTGAGTGCCCACACGTGAATATTATTGTTCGTACATGATGCATGTGTCTACATACACGGTAACCGGGCACCTAGTCTCAGTATCTACGTACACGGTAACCCACCGGAATGAAAATTAACCAATATTTGTCCTGTGCTGTCACTTGTTGAAATAAAAAAAGAAAGCTATACACGCGTCTTGTCGGGCTCGCCATCGTTACCGGTCAGTGAACCTGTGCTTTTGCATCACATTGCGAGTACCGGTTGGGGTCACCAAAATTCATTCAAAGTCTGTGCGCTACGAAGTATAGGGCTCCGGAATGGGAGAATTATTGATTTTTTTTTTTTAATGTACAGTCGGGGGAGGGCTGGAGTTGAAGGCAACACCGGATGACAAAAACTGAACTTGGAATTCTTAACTGCCCGGTTACCGTGCTCGTGACACTGAGACTACGTGCCCGGTTGACGGTTACCGTGTACGTAGACACTGAGGCTAGGTGTCCGTGTTCCGTGTACGTAAACACCCCGTTATATAAAACGCCTTAAAGCTGCGTTCACACGGGAGTGGGTGCTATAGAAATGATCTAGATCTACATTAGTACATGTATTACTATTGTTTATAAATGGGGGAAAAAATTGCTGTATTTTACGATTTGACTTAGTGTTATAACAATACCATGCCGGTTTTAAAAGAGAAAATATCTGAAATAGATCTAAATACAGGTTTCAAGAGAAAAATAGAACAGGATATGGTTTGATTACAGCATAAGCCTATTTTGTATTTAGAGGTTGTTTCGAAAATCTCTCGTCATTTTTTTGTTTTTTTATAGACTAGAGCTAAACCTCATACACTTCTAGATTTTTGCATGAACCAAGTACCCGGCATGTACTAAATTTAGTCAAATTTTATGCCTTCATTTAAAAGTTATTACGAAAACCGAGGGTTCCGTTATTATGTGTCACGCGTTAGCATATTATACTTGGTCGATAACTTTATTGTTAACGTACTCGTGTGTTGTTACTAGTAAATGTTGTTAATAACATTTGATGAATTTGTATTGTTTGTCATGATTTTTTAAAAGGCTGTGCTGCTTTTATGCTACCGGTACTCAAATTGTCATGTTTTTTAAACTAAAAATGTTAAGCCCGTACTAATGCGCCTGGGATGGGAAAGTTGCAATTTTTTGCAATTTTTAGGCTGTTTACCTTGCAATTTTTTGCAATTTTTCTATTTCAAAAATGCAATTTTCCGCGGGGCCAGTTATAATCCGCAAATTTCAAATCACTTGAGGTCATTTCCATGGGGTAAAAAAAAATTCAAGATTTTTTTAATATTCAGTTGACACATTTGTATTTTTTTCTTGGTCACCCTTTTTTCTTTCTGTTGCTTCCAGCATCATCAACTATGTCTCAGACAGTGGCCACAACAGCACAATCATCCTGCAACCATCTCCTGTGGGTCAGAGTTCAGCCACGCCCACTGAAGACGGCATTATCCTGAAAATATCTGTATCTGTATCTTCCTTCAGGTCTATGGAGCCAGGCAGGTCAGTGCTAGAGATCTTACTTTGAGTTTTTTCGTAACTCGTTAGATGCTCAGAGCTGTACATCGTGTCGCAGTTTTACCCTTATATGCTCAGAGCCACATGCTGCGTCGTTGAAAACATGTTTTTAAAAACTTTTGGTAAGGTTTTACAGCGCTCGCAACTGCATAAGGTCATATGAGCGCCAAGGGGTGGATGTCAACAGAGAAGTCCAAACGGGGAATCAGGCTTACTTTGCTCTCCTCTCTAGCCTCAACAGCAGAAAGCTTGCTTCGACTATCAAGGCAACCCTCAATTAACAGTTCACAGGAGAGTAACAAACATACATAAGAAGTAAAGGGAAAATGGCGATAGTAAGGGTGACGAAAGAAAAAGCAGAAGTTCCCCCTATATTGTTCCGGCACGATATGAGCATAACATTGATAAATCAGCCCATTTACAATTCTACTGTGCATAAGAACATGTTAATATCCCCTCTTCTAGAATTAGATAATCACATTATATTGCACCCGTGATGTCAGTGATGCAGAAATATATGGCCAAAACTGTTCAGATAAATAGATACTATTTCTTAGTTTTCTTGGTCTGTTCTCCTCAAATTTGCAATGGCTGTTTCTTCATGGCTGTAGATAAGGCCATTTGACGGATTCTGTAATGTCTTGAAAAATTTTGTTTAGAAGAGATTGAATTTGACATTTGATTTTATTTCTGATAATTGATCCCTTGTTGCCTACGACGTACATTATGTGTCGTGAAAATGCTTAAATATTTTGCCATATCGGTTAACCTGAATTATGAATGTGTGAAACACATTGATAAATTCCTGATGTTTTTGAGTTTTCCATGTCCGACTGCATTGGTCTAACATTTTTATCCGCCAGATATGATGTGTTTGTGGACACCGTGCCAACCAAGAACCTGTCGTCTTTTACCCCCGCCCACCCAGCTGTGTATCTGGGAACTGGCTCAGTCCATACCCTGGTGCTGGAGCGGTCAAATACATCTCAGGTAACTCTCCCAATACTTTGGTAGGGATAGAGGCAGAATTGGTTCTTCATCTTTTAATAATTGCCCTCTTGATCCTTGGTTACCGTCTGCTTTGATTTTATGCAGCTCTGATATTTGAAGAGAAAACATAGAGGGCCACCAGATGGATGTGTCAGAGTTGCGAGTCCATGTAAATCTTAATGGCAGGAAAAAGGTAGGGGAAAAAGACTTTACCGTTGACTCAGATTAATCCACATGTTCTAAGAATTCAGTGCATATATGTGAGGACAGTTCCTAAAGGTAAAAGGGTTCATTTTGCTGCATACAGTAGCCGTCTATATGCTCTGCTTTTCGTCAGTGTAACAGTGTTCAGGGCATTTGATTCCCACCCCTGTCACTGTCATCTATTGATGACAATGTGTATAGAATGTAGGCAATATCCCCCCCCCCCACCCCTTCCTGTACTTACAAGGGTGTTCTTTATGATAGAGTGATAACTGTGTACTGTAAATGTGTGCAGAGCATGGCTTTCAACCCCATCCAATGCCCCCCCCCCCCCCCCAATCCTTTGCTTCAACAGAGAGAGGGGGGGGGGAGGCTTTTTCAACATTTTTCCAGTTTTATCTACTCAAGTGAAAACAGTTTTCTAGTCCACTCAGTAGTACATGTGTGCATTCTGTATTATCTCATCAGAAGATGCTCTTGTGAAAGTGCTACCAGTGCTTTATATTCGATCTTCTCATCTAAATGTGAACTTCTGGCCAAAGGCATGAGAACCCATTGTTTCACATGCTGGGAGGGAGTGTATAATTCTGCAGCAACAGGAGTCTGTAAAGCAAGAAAACGGATAAATGCATTGAAAGTTTGAAAGTAGGTTTAAAATGTGTGCCAGCCTGGAGGTGAAAAGATTTATAGCCGACTCATTGTTTACGAACATTGAAATGTGTTGCTGAAAATTTATTTTTAAAAGTTTGCCTCTCTTGTGCTGTACGTGGTTATCATGTGATTTGACCCTCTTGCTAACCACAGATGTGGGTGGTTGGTGTGTGCTCTTGTGTGGTTTTCTCCTTCTTTCCTATAAAACATCTATCGTCTTTATGTCTCCTCTTTCTTTTTCATTTTTGTTGCTCTCTTGTAACACCTCTATTCTTCAGCACTTATATGACCTAACTGTGTTGCAAGTGCATGGATGATTTCTCTCCATCCCGCAGGTGAAAGTGTTACAGTTTGCCAGCATTGAAGAAAGCCAAGTTTCTGTATTGTGGCTGGTGCCTCAGTATGTGTTCATCACCATTGCAGAGATTCTCTTTTCTGTCACAGGCTTCGCTTTTGCATACACTCAGGTGAGATCATGTTCTGCTAAGTCATCCAGGGGGCATTTCATCAGCTCATCTGTCTACCTGGCCATTGGTCCATTTATCAGTCAGTACATGCATTCATCCATGTCTTTGCCTTCCGTTTGTCCTTCTGCTATTTTAAAATGTAATCTGTTCATTCATCCAGCCTCTATTATTCAGCTAGCCTTCCGTCCATCCATCTTTTCATTCACCCATTCATCAAACCATTCATTCGTGGATTCATTTGTCCTTTCATCCATCCAACTTTATCTACCAATTCTGCCACTTGTCCATCTATCCTTCCATATACATTCATCCGATGATCTAGATTAACAAGTAGACATTCAAAGATGTGCCCCCACGCCCCCTCACCACACTCACTATTCTCCCACCCACAGGCCCCAGCGTCTATGAAGTCCATTGTCCAGGCGGCCTGGCTTCTGACCACTGCCTTGGGTGACCTTATAGTGGTCATCATAGCAGAAGCACAGTTTACTTCTTCACAGGTCATTACATACATTAGTACAATGTACTTGTTTATTATTGAGGAAGTTGTCAGGGCCTTTGACTAGCTCTGTTTCTTTCTCTGTGTCTCTCTCTTTTTTTTCTGTCTGTCCATCTGTCTGTCTCTTGTATCCCCCCCCTCTCTCTCTCTCTCTCTTTCTCTCTCTCGCTCTCCCTCCCTCTCTCTCTCTCTCTCTCTCTCTCTCTCTCTCTTTCTCTCTCTTTCTCTCTCTCTCTCTCTCACTCTCTCTCGCTCTCCCTCCCTCCCTCTCTCTCTCTCTCTCTCTGTCTCTCTCTCTCTCTCTTTCTCTCTCTCTCTCTCTTTCTCTCTCTCTCTCACTCTCTCTCTCTCCCCCCCACCCTCCATCTCTCTCTCTCTATCTCTATCTCCTTTTTAAAAATCTCTCTTAGAGAGGGAGTATTATTATACACGGAGCAAAAGGGAAAGGAGAAAGAGAAAAGGGGAGAGATAGATAATTAGATAAAACATTATAGATGATAGTAGATGTATGCCCACAGATGCCTTGTAGTGGAATGTGGTGTTTGTCTGTGGACACAATTTACAGTGTCCCAGATACTGGTTGGAATTTGCTGTAAGGTCACCCACTTAATTCTGGGGAGATCAACCTCATGCAGGATTTGTGAGTTGTATTAGTTTTAACTTCAGCATCAAAAGCCAAATGTCCCTGGTAAAGTTAAAATGAAAGTCAGTCTCCTTTCCTGGAGTGTTTAATTTCTTTTGCCAATTCACACTGTAGAAAGTGATGCAAAGAACTGCATAGAAAAATGTTGCTCCTCTTAGAATGTTTCTCCATTGGACCGAAATCACAGACCCAGTTTCCCTTACTTTATTTTTCAGTCTGCCGAGTCTTTCCTGTTTGCTGCTCTGATGGGCGTTGACACGCTGCTGTTTGTTGTCATGGCCTGCCGCTACAAGAGTTACGTGCCACCAAAACAGACCCCAGACCCAGTGAAAAACATGACCACGTCAAATGGTGCAGATCATGACCAGGAGACCCAGCCTTTATCAGAGTTGAACTCTAGTAAATGGGATTGATTCTCTTCTAGTCAGTGTGTAGATACAGAACTATATTTATTTCTTTCAGAGATTGATCATGGATTGCAGATCACACCGCAAGAAGTATGCTTATCATGTGTTATATCTACTTATTATATGTAGCTATCTTCACTGGGCAAGTGCTGGTTTCTCTTGGTCCCAGGCTGATACCTCTACAACACTTGGTTAAACAAGTTTTTCTTTCTTATGAAAAGATTTCCATTCTCAGGAGGTTTTCTGCATCCATGAAGTCGGTAGTATTTGCGGAGTAAAAATTGAGTTTTTAGTCATCTTTTTGTTCAATTGTGCAATGTTCTGCTATTGAATAAAGACTTTAGGTGATATTTGACCATCTTGATTTCCACTAAGGGGCCTTTTTTTCCCCCTTAGTCCACCTTATAAGTTTTCTTTGTTACAAAGTAGATAAAGTATCATGAGATCTGTGATCCGAAACTGAAAACAGTGTGTAAAATGTTGGATAATCTGATTTATTTATGTGCCATAAATGTGTTGGTGGCATAATGACAACATCAGACTAAAGGTCACTCAAACTGTTTGTCAGTTATGAATGTGATGTTTGAATTGACTTAAATGTTTTTTCGTCATTCCAAGGGATACACAGTATCATCATAAACATTCTCTTTTATCAGTACTGTTTGTTCAGCACATACTTTTTGGTGGTGCCTTGTTCAAGATATTTTCACAAATTTTATTGTCTTAAATGTTAGTCATGTGGGATCTAAAATGAGTTTCATGTCTTTCCTTAGTACAGTCATTTAATTTTAGATACAATTACTGCCTCAGTCCGGTGTGCATTCAAAAGATAGCACTGCTAATACAGTCTTTTCATTGAGAGTGATTACGATCTCATAGGAATTTGGGATCATTTTGTCAGTTGCAGAGTTATTTTTCTTTCTTTCAGTTCCTTTTGCTAGCTCAGAATATCAGGAGCTTCATGCAATCTAGTACTTACTTTATTTTTCTGGCCTTGAGGTAAATCATGCAGAAAGCACTGATTTCCAGTCAAGACAATGGGGGAAAAATGAAACTGTATAGGTTTAACGCCTCTTTCTACACTGTAAGTTTATTTGAGAGGCGGGGCCTTTAAATTTGACATCCATCTCCTGATAGGACTTAGCTAAATGGGTGAAGAGATTTAAGAACTCCCCAAAACACCCCAAGTTCAGAACGTACCTTTACCTTGGGGATTCGAACCTAGGGCCATTTGCTCTGTTGTGCAGTGTGGTACCAACCGAGTTAATGACATGTCCAAGAAAACAGAAGTTAGTAAAAGAAATTTTAATGAAATTCTGTGGAAGACATAGAGTAATGGTAATAATTTGGGATTCAAATAGAAGTTTTTTAATAACCTCGACAGCTGTGATAAAATCTACCCTATGTTTGAAATTGAAAAATAAGTACAAGATAGTGTTCAGGTCATGATATACTGCCCACAGCAAACGAGCACATGAAGTTTGTAGATTTTTCTTCTTTTAATTTTTCAGTCTCCTCCTGAATTCTTTCTACTATAGTGCTCTGACTTTAAATCAAAGAATCCCCGATTTTTAGAAAAATTGCTGGTCTTCTCATAATAATATGTCCCTTGCATGATTCATCTTTGGCTTTGCCCAGTATTTTGTTTGTCCGAATGGACAGAACTTCTATCAAAAGATGTTTGCAGTACCGTTAGAGTTAGAGACCATAATTTATAGTGTGTGAAGCGTTGTGAGGTGCTACTTGAATATTAGTGAAGCGTGCTGACAAAATGAGTGACTGCTCGGATTCAAACCTTAAGTAAATATAATATAGAGATAGGTGAAGTTTTTTCAATTTATAAGTGTGAAATAATAAAAGGCTGGTTATAGTTAAAGACTATGGCATCAATAGAAAATATACAAATTTGACCATGTTGATTTTTGGCCAATATCTCCTTTTGTGGATTGCGAGAAGTAACTCATTTTGTCAGCACGTCTCACTGATGGAGAGGACAAGGGACAAGAATCAGTTTTTGAGAATGCTTCTTTTCTAACTGGATGTATTTCTTTTTGGTGTATTATTTTGGTTGAGGTCTCTTTTACCTTGTTATGCGAGTTATCAACTCTCTTATCCTGCATTATTTTAATTGAAGTCTCCTGTACCTTGTTATGCGAGTTCTCAACTCTGTTATCCTGCAATATGGTGCTCAAATATTGTTTACATTTGTTGATTACTAATACATGTATATATTTAGATCTACACTTTACTGTACTTTACACGTGAAAGTTTACATAGTATGTTGGTGATGGATAATATTTCTCCACAACAGTGTTTCAATGAGATTTTCTAACTTATTTCAATTCTACACTGTCCTTGCTTGCAGGGGATTGAAGTGGGTGGTTGGTGGGTGCTCTGGCATGGTTTGCTCCTTCATTCCTATCAGACATCTATTGTTCTTTTCTCCCTTCGGTTTTTTGCGTGTCTTACTCCCCTGCGACACTTCTAATCTTCGACACTAGTCTGATCTAATTGTGTTGCAATTGCTGTAAACTTACTGTACTTTACTTTACTTTTTTCTTCCGCTTGTACCCTGGGGTGTCGCGGGGAGACACAGGCATCTGTCTGCAGCAAGTCATGTGGCCTGTAGGAGGGACATCCCATGATCTCTAAGGGTGTCTGCCACAGATTCACTCCATCGTCGCCTTGCTGTAAAACTCTTACTAAAACCAAGAGGATTGAGTCTAAAGAGAGTATTTCATATATCTATAGTGTGGTGTTACCATTAAAAATTAATAAATGTTTTGGTGAAAGCATTATTTATGTATGTGATGATACATGTCATGTACTGCTGATATTACTTGTGAAAAAGAGGAATTCTACTGCTTTCTATTGAGCAGTAATGTTGTTTTTTTGTGGCTAATCTATTGGTTTGTAATGGTTTTTTTGTTGAATTTGTTTGGAGTTCTGATCAGTTCACTGTGTTTCCATTTGGGATTTATCGGAGTACTTGCCAGAACGCCAGAATCTCAATGTGGACATTGTTTGTTGTTTGTTATGAAGTATGACTGACTGACTGTATAGCACAGTTATGCCCTCTGACTTACGTGATGTAAGTGTAAGGGCTATGCTCCTCACCCTGCATGTAAAAGACATTGGTTTGACTCTCACGTGTTGAAGATATTTTATCAAATTTATACTATATTACTATATATATCTGTCTTTCAACTCAAGTTTTGTGTTCTACTCCGTTGGAGTTGGCCCTGAGCAAGGTCAAAGCTTCTTGGCACAGTTTTATTAGTGTGAATGGTTGGCGGGTGTTCTGGTGTAGTTTATTCTTTCTTTCATATCAAACATCTATTATCTTTGTCTCTCCTCCTCCTTTTCTTTGTATGTTACACTCCAGTAGCATCTCTAATCTTTGACACTTATACGATCATAGCACCCTCTCTGTTAGATTATACTAAATTGTTTTTCTGGGGAAATTTTATTAAAGGTACAGCAAACTTGTTTTGTTTTTTCCTGTCATCGGTGAAAAGAATGCTTATTTCTCCTTCTGAAATGTTCACACTGTGCAATTAAGTGTATTGTCAATGTCAAAATTTTACCACTGACTGTCACTTGGCTGTTCTGTGGCTCGTTTTCAGAGCCAGAGAGCTGAGAGTCTACAGACAGATATATTTATTTTAGAGATTGTGTATGTTTGTGTGTGTGTGCGCGTGCTCAAGTGTGTTTCTGTGTGTGCGTGGCTGTGTGTGTGGTGAGAGTTTGCATACAAGTGTGTTGTGTTTACATATTTATGAGCAAAAGTATGCGTACATGGTTCTACATGTACGTACCTGTATCATGTGTGTGTGATTGTCAGTGTGTATGAATGCCAGCACAAAAGGTGGTTTAGGATTTATTTTTTTATTTTAGAATGTTAACACTTTTTCGTTTTGGGTTGATAAATTATGCAATGAATTGCATGAGGATTGTGAAATAAAGGTTATATATATCATGTATACACATGAACATTTTGTTTGTCTTGTCACTTGAATGACTTTCATAACTCTCGAGTGGGTGGTTGGCAGGTGCTCTTTTGTTTTTTGCTCCTTTCTTTTCATATCAAACATCTATCATCATTATCTCTCCTTTTTTTGTGTATGTTACTCTCTTGTAACACCTTTAATCTTCAGCACTTATATGACCAAATTGCATTGCAAAGGACGTTAAAACATTATTAAAACAAAAAAAAACAACACTCAACAGTAGGATAGATGTTGAATCAGACTGACAGCTAATCGAAAAATTTGCAGCTTTTGTAAGCTAACCTGTGTGTTGAAATGTTGTAAGCATCTTTATCAGTATCATATGAAGATGTATATTCTTTCCATTACCCACCAACTCACCAAGACCGAGCCAGCCACAAATGGTGTCAACCTCCACATTTTTACTATGACTATGATGTTGACTGCCCTTGTTCCCACCTTTCAGGGTAGCAGCTCAATTATCGTATCTCGTAGTTTTGGCGAAAAATCGCTTTTTTTTGGTGTTACAGGCCACTGGGAAAGGCGCACGCCCTGTTAAAAAAACTCAGATCTGGGCGATTATTACGTGATAATACATATATATGTATGTACACTTTATATTGAAATTCCAGCTATTGGTGATGGATTTAGTGGTGAAAAATCAGGGGCTGTTTGTTTATATTTTCGGGGTTTTTTTCGGGGGGGG